ATGGTGTGATCAGCCTCATCTCCTGCCCAGCTCCCAGAGTCCTATGGGTCTGGAGAAGAGGCACTGCCCTGTCTTCACAGAGGTAATGCTCAAGGGAGTGGAATGGCTCTCACCACCTCCTGCTTCCTGCCCACCACCTCCAGTGCCCGCCCAGCCCCTTCTGTAGCACTTCCAGAAGCACATATGAAAGGCAAGGGAAGGGGGCCACCACAGCATGTGCCTTTCTGAGGTGAAGCCCTTTGGCTGCCCTCACCTCCCTTAACGGGTGTTGCTCTCTTGCCCCAATAACTACACATCCAGTTCAGGAAAAAGACATGGCAATGAGTCTAAACAGGAAGAGATGGGAGAAAAACAGAAGGGGTGGCCTGCACTGGAGATGGCCTAGAAACCAGAAGAGCGTATATTGACAGAGAGGGACAGGGATAGACAAGACCCAGCTGTCACCAAGTCAGTCAGTGGTACAGGGTGGCGCAAAAAAAAAAAAAGCCACATCATGCATTAGGACCTTGCCTTGAATTTTCTTGCCGGCATCAAGGTGCCTCCTATCCATCACCTTTCCCAGGGTGTCTGTGGTTGCCCAGGCTGGAGAAGGTAGCCACAGCCAAAGCCACAACCGCAGCCACGGGTTTCCTGAAAGTTTACATTGCAGTAGCATTGTGGGGTGTGGGGGGCGGCTCTCCCAGGCTCTGCTCCCCCATCCCCACCCACTCATGACTCTTAAGTTTGTTGTATTAATATTTATTTATTTGGAGATGTTATTTATTAGATGATATTTATTGCAGAATTTCTATTCTTGTATTAACAAATAAAATGCTTGCCCCAGAATTTAGTTTCTTTGACTTGCCTGGCTGCCTGGGGCACATGGCAGTGCTCTAGTCCTGCCAGCCCCCAGCTCCCACAATCCCCTCACCCCAGAAGGGCACAGGGCTTGAGAAAAAGCTCTCCTCTCTCCAGCCCTGAGGCATAGTGTAACCTAGGACCTGTCCACTCCTGCTACCAACTGCACCATGTCTCCGCCATCCCAAACGGCTCTCTCTGTCCCTTGTTGTTCTTTTGCTTCAGGCCTTTCTTCTTTACCGACAACACTTCCGGAAGCACACATGATAGGCAAGGGCAGGGAGCCACCACAGCATGTGCCTTTCTGAGGTGAAGCATATGTAGGGGAAAGAGAAGAACTCCTACTGGACTGCAAGAGAATGTGATAAATGCTATTTGAGGGGTGAACTATGCTCAAATCCAGTTCCATAGCCTGCTAGCTGAATGACAGACAAATTAAAGCTTCCTAGTCACCCATTTCTCCATCTGTAAAATGGGAATCATTAAATATCCTCATACGGATTGTTGGAAAAGGTAACAGAAACAATAAAAGTAAAGATGCTTGGGTTAGTAGCAGCAATTGTAATTACAGATTATTTGGAACATGTCCCTCTGTCATGCCACTGAGTAAATCAATGGGTTAACTGCTTCCAAGTAACACATGGGTATTTATAAGTGCCTCCTAAAATAAGGCCTTAAACAAGGAAATAACAAATATTTATGTCATTCAGTTGACAAATTTTATAAAAGACTTAATTACCTGCCATCACTATTAATACATGAAAGCCAAAAGAAGTCAGAGACCTAAGTTGGCTCCTGCCCTCATGGAACTTGCAATCTACTTAGGAAGAACAGCTTTCCTGAAGTACTAAGGTTCAAAAGTATACAAGTCACTAGAAAAAGTCGTGGTCAGAGTGTAGGTACAAGAGCTATTAGATCTGTTTATGGGCCAGCCAGTCTCTATGGAATGTCCTGGTGTCACTTGGTCCAAGTGGAACATGTACCACCCATACAGGCTGAGACACCTGTCCAAGCATGGCCAGGGACACCTGCAAGCCCTGCTCCATGCCTAACAAGACAGAAAGGAGAAAGTATCTGAGCTGTTTCCACACAGAGGCAAAATGTGTTATGGCCTGGTCTATGCAAAATACTAAGCAAGGGGCTATAAGGAAGACAGAGACAAGGACGGCAGGGTCCTGCCCTCATGGAGTTTATATATTATTACTTGGGGAAAAGTTCTTGAAGACAGACTTTGACTCTTCCTTTTCTCTCTATCCCAGTATCTAGCTCAGGCTCCTGTTTAAAGGTGCTCCAGAGGTGGGCATGTGGCTCAGTGTAGAGTTCTTGCCTTGCATGTACAAGGCCCTGAGTTCAATCACCGGCACCACAAATAAAATAAAATAAAATAAAATAAAATAAAATAAAATAAAGGTATTCCAAAGTGGGCATGGTGGTACACCCCTATAATCCCAGCACTCAGGAGGCTGAGGCAGGATTGCCATGAGTTTGAGGCCAACCTAGCCTACATAGTGGGTTTAAGACCAGCCTGAACTATACAGTGAGACCTTATCTCAACCCTACCCCCAAAATAAAAAAACAAAGTTCCATTAGTGTGTGGAACAAAATAATCTAGAAAAGGGAATAGGAGCTGGCCATGGTGGCACATGCCTATAATCCCAACTACTCTGGAGGCTGAGGCAGAAGGATTAAGAATTGAACACCAGCCGGGGGAACTTGGTGAGATCTGGTCTCAAAAAAAAGGGGCAGTGCTTACCTAGCCTCCACGAGGCCCCGAGTTTAGTCTTAGTACTGGTGGCCAGTTGTGGTACTCTATGCCCAGAATCCCAGCATTTGGAGGTTGAGGCAGGAGGATCACTAAAAGTTGGAGGCCAGCCTGGTCTATATAATATGTTCAAGGTCAGTATGAACTACACTGCAAGCCCCTATCTACAAAACAAAACAAAACAAAACACCTCCTCCAAATGCTAGAGTACAAGGCAAAGCATGTAGTGGAGTGAAGGAAGGCTCTAGGCTGGGAGCCCTAGAGGAGGAAGTGGTGTCCAGGGCCATCACTGTATCTTTTTTTTTGTTTTTTCTGGTACCAGGAATTGAACTCAGGACCTCGCGCTTGCCAGGCAGGCGCTGTGCCGCTGAGCTAAATCCCCAGCCTCGAGATTCTTTTTTTTGTTTGTTTGTTTCATTACTGTATTTCTACTCCCTGGCATGCAGCAAGTGCTCAGTCGTCACCTTTTGCATAAATGCTCCAGGTGGTATTTAACGTCAGCCTGGGAGGATGGGCAGAATCTGGACAGGTGGAAACAAGGCAGGATGGAGGTTGGTTAAGCCTGCTTGCCTCCTTTTCATGTAGATAGTGTCTTCAGGGCAGGATCCAGGATTGTTCATCTTTGCATCCTAACAGCATTTTAGCACGATATCATATAGTAATGTCCTTGTTAATCTGATTTAAACTGATTTTATGAGTGTTCAAAACAAGAGTGTTTTAGAAGTTGAGAGAAGAGTTTGAAGGAGGCAGTTGATCAACAAGTCTCAGATGCCCCTGGGGAACTGACAGAGGACTGTGGATATAAATCTACTGGCTTTGGGGTTAGGAAATCACAGGCAACCTTGCAAGTAGATGAGATGTAGACACCAAACTATGGGACAAAGAAGGCTATGGTGTGAAAGAAAGTAGGAGGAAATACATTCCCTCTGAGTTTGGTGGTAAAGGGAAAGGATGGAGGAAGGTATTTTGTTTGTTTTGTGGTAGTTATTTTCAAAGAGAAGAGAGCTAAACATGTTATTGTGGAGTGAGGAGGTGGTGGCTGGAGAAGACTGGAGAGCTGTGGGCAGTTGACTAAGGAGACAACCAGAGAAGAAGCAAAGGCTTGCTGAGCAGCCACAAGGGAAAACCAGGGGACGTCAGCAGACCAGTCTTTTTGTTGTTGCTGTTGTTTTTGAGGCAGGGTCTCACTATGTAGTGCAGTAGTGCAGGCTGGCCTTGAACTCACTTATATAGCCTAGTGGCCTGGAACTCACAGTGATCCTCCCACCTCAGCCTCCCAAGTGCTGAGTGCTAGGATTATAGGCATTTGCCACCGTGCCTGGTTGATCTTTTTGTTTTGAAACAATCTTGCTAAATTGTCCATACTGGCCTTGATTTTTTGATCCTCTTGCCTCAGCCTCCCAGCCTCCCTGGGATCATAGGAGCACAGCAGTGTGCCCAGCTAGAGCTTGAATTCTTGAACTCTTCTCCAAATAGCTCTTTGTTCTTAGTTTTTGTTTGTTTGCAGAAATCAAACTGACGACCTTGCGCTTGCCAGGCAGGTGCTGTGCCACTGAGCTAAATCCCCAGCCCCTTTTTGTTTGTTTTTTTCTCCCCCAAAATACTCTTAATTACATTGACGGGGTATGGGTCCCTCCTTTGAGTTTTGGTACTGTGTCCCACAGGGTATTTGTAAAATTTCTGGCACCACTGGACAGGTAGCCCTTGCTAAATGATAGATTATTAGTGTTTTTGGTGCGCTTGTCATTGGTTCTCTAAGTACAGCTCTCTCAAGAAATATGATGAGTTCTTTGCTGGGCTTGGTGGCACAGGCCTGTAATTCCAATTCTCGTGAGGCTGAGGCAGAAAGATTATTGTGAGTTTGAGCCAGTCTGGGCTACAAAGTAAGCTCACGGCCAGCCTGAACTGCATAGCGAGACCCTGTCTCAAAAAAGACAAAATCAAATAAAATCAAATAAATATGATGAGTTCTCTCTGGCTATCTAGGTTTTAGCCCTTAAATATGACCTTAACAGCCAGGAGTCTTATGCATCCAGAGGCCAATATATTAATCAACACTACCTAGAGTTCTGTAGTGTGTTGGGGGCATTATTTGTAGAACTCCTATGTACCTCGCAAGGCTAGAGAGGAGGAGGGAGGGAGAGAAGGCCCTCCTTCCTGTCATCTCTAGAGAATGTAGATTACAAACTTCTTTGTCATTTTGGTGTTTGGAAGTACACCTGAGTTTGAGAAAACACACACAAGAGGGAGAACTGTGAGTTGGGAGAGGTGGCTGCTGCCTGGAGGGTAGCGGTGGGTACAGGGGAGGCTCCCATGGGAGGTGGCAACCATCAGACCTTGATGCAAAGACTGACCCAACATCCAGGACTTAGGATGTGAGCGGGGGCGTTCAGGCACTCACCACCACTCATCACATTTCACCACAGCCCAGCGCTGGTCTCGAGAACGGCCGGAAAGCAGATGGAGACCTCTGTTCCCTTCAGCCCAGAGTGCAAGGGCAGTGATTCAGGCCTGGCTGGGTGCTCTGATGGGCGGCTTCCTTTCAGCTCCCCCTTCTTCTCTGGAGCCACAACTGTTGCTGCCTTTGTCCGTTCAATTCTTGAGCTCCCTGACTCAGCCTGGTACCCCAATTTCCTGGCAGGAGACAAAGCTCTTGTCAGTGGGTGGTGGGGCCTGTGAGAACACTCTCAAGTTGGAGTCCCAGTCCCTTCAGACTCTCAGCCTCCAGGTTCCTTGACCTAGTTCTGGCACCTCACTAGTTCAGGGATCACCTCTATGCCCCTTCCCAATTTGTCCTGACCTCCAAGGCCTGCCTGATGGGGGGAGGGGTTTGTTAGCTGTGACCATCTTTCCAGCTAGACAAAGTCTGACACCTGGTGGCCACGGTGAGGAATGGCCTGTAGGCCCCCTTTTCAAATTTTCCCAGAATTTATCCAGGATGGCCTAGGTAAAAGGAGAGGGGACCAGAAAAGGTGTGGAAAGTGGTAGGGGCAGAGAAGAAGAGATACAAGCGACCAAGGGGAGCCTTTCCCTTCCCCGAGCTTCTGCCCTTTAAACCCACTAAGCCTGAGAACCTGGATAAGGAAAAAGGGGTTATTGGCTCGATTGTGAGGGACCCAAAGGAGCTCCTGTCCACAGGGTAAGGAGTGGGCCCAGGGTGTGTGTAGTTTGGGCCTGAGAGTGTTCATCTGGCAGCCCAGAACCCCCTGAGCTAGCCTGATTTCCAGCTCAAGGTGGGTGGCAGCATCTGAGGGACTGAGGAAGGGGGATGCTGGGGAAAGGAGAGCAGGACTGAATATGCCCCACAGCCGGCTGGGCCCCAGGCAGCTACTCCCCTCCCTTCACCTGCCCCCACTTTCCCAGCTGGCTCTCCTCTACCTGGCTCTCCTCACAAATCCCAAGATGAGCTGCGGGCAAGGAAAAGGCCCTTTGGGCTTGCACAAGTGCTACCCCACCCCCATCCTGCAACATCACCTGAGCTAAACCTGCATTAAGCCAGGGCTAATTCCCCTTCCCCTAGGGCAGTCAGCAGTGGGCCTCAGGCCCCAGGAAGGCACTGAATTTCTTTTCCGGTTCTTTCCATTCCTGGGCTCCTCGAGACTTTCACCTTGGCCTTGAAGCAAGAACATTAGCTGTTCCCAACATGCAAAGGTCACTCTTGAGGATCCCTTCACCAGTCTGTGGTATCAGGGCTGACACAAAGAACCTATGCCTGAGCCTCTGGGCACTCCCCAAAGGACAGAACTTAGCTCCCTACTCAGAGCCTGGCCCTGGCCTCCAGCCCAAGGTCTGAACTGTGACAGGCCAGGACAGCAATTTAGGGGGTAGGCCCAGGAAGCTACCTAAACAGGAAAGGGTTCTAGACAGGAAGGGCGTAGGGGGGGAGGGGTTGGAGAGTAAAGGAGGAAAAGACCTGAGGTGGGACAGGCTGAGGCCAGTCCAATTGCTGGGACACCTGAGGGACCCAGATGCTGAGTGAGGAAGCATCCCACCAGGTCAGGGATGGTTCCAAATTCCCTGTATGCCAACTGTTCCACTGGGGCTCAGTCCTACTGCCATCTTACTTGGAGAGGAGGGCACGCTGGCTGGGGAATGTTCTTTTAACCCCAGGCCACAAGGCCAGTCCTAGAGGTCCTACACTTGTGTTTACCACCCTGGCTCTCTTTCTGGGGCCTAGGGTAAGGAGATGAAGTCCACAGGAGACATCTTCCAGGCTGAGTGGGAGAGGTTAGCCCGATCTGAGCGGGGCAGAGCTGGGGGAAGCAGGCAGGAACAGAGGCTGGTCAGGGAGGCATCCACAGAGCAGGTCAGGGTGCCGGTGGCTGCCATGGGAGAGAAACGAATAGGCCTGGGCAGCAGTGGGAGCTGCTGTGGCTGCCCAGCGGCACACCCCATTTCACGCTCCCTGGGCGGTGGCAGGCCCCACGGCTATCAGCTTTCAGGGGTGGGAGGAACTAGGAATGAGGAGGGGTCTGCCCCACCCACGGCTCCCTATTCCCTCAGGGCTCAATGAACTCAGGTGGTAGGTGCCACACACTTGTGGGAACAGCCCAAGAGCCCCTCACAGAGGCTCTCCAGGGAAGCCTGGGTTGGGTGTCGGGCCTCCACCCAGCGCTCAGTGCCTGACTAGACCCTATACCTGCCCAGACTGGTGGAGGGGGCCTCCCTACTGTGCTGCCCAACTCAGCAGGGACCTTTCTGCCTGGATGTGGGTCCTGCTTACCCTAAGAGGCAGAAAGGGGGTTAGATCTGGCAGAGCCAAAACAACAACGAAGGGAGGGGCCCTCCAGCTCTCTGTTATGCATCCATAGCTTCTCCCTCCTCAACCTTCCCTCCTCGAGGAAGCTGGTGGGGAGAGCTGGACAGGAAAAGAGCCCCCAAGACACAGCTGCTCTTCCCTTCTGGTGGTCTCCTCTCCAGAGCACCCTCCTCTATTCCCAGGCCCCAGCCCTGCAGAGAAGCAGGAAGGCAAAGGCCTTTGAGCAGGCATTGGCCCTTGTACCCTGGAGGGAAGAACCGGATGGGATTTCTAGAGGGTGATTAGTGCTGGGCTGGTCCCAGCACTGGTTCCCAGACTCCCACTGGCCAGCACTTTCGCCTGCTGCCAGGAAGTTGGTGAGGGGGAGGTGAGAGTAGGGGTGAGTCAGCGATGACAAGAGCCCAAGAGACAAAGGTCATGGGTGGAGAATTGAGACACATTGTTTATAGCAGCCCACCTCTTCCAAAAGGCCTTTGATGCTAATCATCTTGTGGCTCCACGGAGCTCTGACCCACCCTCTCTCTCTTTTCTGTTAGGAATTACAACCCCTCTTCCTGCAAACTGTGAGCTTAGGGAACAAGGACGGTTTGTGGTTCAATGGGGGATCAGTCTATCCTTCCTACTTTCAAAAAACTTTTTGGTATCTATTTTGAGCTAGTATGTGTGAAAAAGCTTAGAGCAGTACTTGGCACATGGTAAGAGCACTACGAGGGTTAAGCTTATTGATACTCTTTTATGCTCATACGCACAAGGGAGGTAAGGTCAGTGAAGAACTAGGGACCCAATCACATTGCGATGGAAGCCTGCCCCTCCTTTGGCCTCCTGCTTGGTATGGAATCTTCCTAACTAGTCCTGGCGGGCAGGGGCAGGCTGTGGGAGGGCCGACAAGGCAATGGCCTGACTGGACTAGGAGTGGGCAGTGTCTCTGGGCGCAGAGTGTGAGAAAGGAGCTTTCAGAAAGCATAGGCTTCTCCAGCCAGGTCTCCTGCAGCCGGTGAGGGTGGGGTGAGAGCAGGGAAGGGGGCTGGATTAGACCAATCTCTCTTCGGACCTCCAGATCTGCCCCCACAGCACTCTGCAGCCAAAGGGTCAGAGTGGAAGGTTCCAGCCGGGCTCAGGGGAGTTACAAACCGGCCACGGGGATTAGTGAGGTTGAAAAGAACATTTGCCTAGCAAGGAAAAACGGGAAGTGAGAGCCTGAGGATAACGTTCTGCAAGTCCCTGGGGACCCATGTAGACCAATGGGGGGTAAGAGGAGGTGGTGAAGTCTGGGGCATCTTGACAGGTTTCCCCCAACCCCGCCTTCCCCAGAACACAGCTGCGGCAGCTGCCCCGCCCCTCACCCTGTGGCCCCTTCCATTGGCTAGAGTCAGGGCCCCGCCCCAGAGAAGTGGCCTGTCATTGGCTTAGGTCTTGATGTTTGCGTGCTTGTGGGGGCGGGGGACAAGCGTCATTCTCTGGAACCTGGAGACTTCCTCTCTTTTGCTTGTCTGGGTCATCTTGTCTGCCCGTCGCTGGCCCATCTCTCTCTCTGGCCCCATCTCTCTCTGTGTCTCAGCAGCTGTCTCTCGCACGCCCGCCGGCCCGTTTCTTCCCCGCAGTCGCCTCCGCCTGCCTGGGTGGCCGCCATGGGCCGGAAGCGGCTCATCACTGACTCCTACCCCGTTGTGAAGAGGAGGGAGGGGCCCGCTGGGCACAGCAAGGGGGAGCTGGCACCAGAACTAGGTCTCTGAAGCGTAGAGGGTGGCAGAAGGACTGGAAACGCAGGGACCACGTAGTGGGTGGGGGCCAGATGGAAGGGGAAGGGAGCAGGTACTCTACTTCCGACCCAGGGTCTAAGGTCCAGCAGCGGGATGACAGAGGCAAAGGGTGGGGAGAGAGCCAGAAGTAGTGGCACAACTGAGGCCAGGGACAGGGCGAAGGCCTGGGCAAGCCTGAGGAGCAGCGTGTCATTACAGGGGAAGAGCCCCAGCCCCCCAGCGAGGAGGAAGCAGAACTGGAGCTGCTGCGTCAGTTTGACCTGGCCTGGGAGTATGGGCCCTGCACAGGTGAGAATTCATCCCGCCCACCAAGCGCATCCCTGAGCCAATCTTTCACCCACACACCTGGACAGTGACCCAGTATCTGTCTGACTCAGGCACTGCTCCTGACTTTGGGGGCTGTGGAGGCCCTCGAGGACCCCCCATCTCTCTAGCCTGGACTCTTCTCAACCTTCCACGAGGCCTCTGAGTTTTCTTCCCACCCTTGCAGGGATCACACGGCTACAGCGCTGGCACAGAGCAGAGCAGATGGGCTTAGAGCCGCCCCCAGAGGTGTGTCAGGTGCTGAAGAGCCACCCCGGAGACCCTCGCTTCCAATACAGGTCAGGACAGGCTTGGATGGCTTTCAGGGAAGGCAGGGGCTTCTCTAGGCACTGCCACCCTGCTGGCCTGGGTGGGGGCTTCCCTGGCCTGAGGGGAAAATGGACACAGGTGTGGGGGTCCTTGCTGAGCAGCAAAAAGGTTTCCAAGATGCCTGGCTCAGGAGGGCATATTAACTCTTACCTCTGACCTACTGGTGGGTGAAGGATGCATCTAGGGCCCAAGGGACAATCTATTTAGTACTGAGGGGTTTGCCAAACTAAGAACCTTGCCTGTAGTAAGTGCCATCGAGGGACTTACCTGACTCTTTGGTGTTCCCTCCCTCCCACCTCATTTTCCAAAGCCTCTGGCATCTCTATCCCCTTTGAGGTACCACCTAGGCCATCCTGCCCTTGACACTTCTGCTGGACATTGAGAACTTCAGGAAAGAAGAACCAGTTGCTGCTGCTCAGCTGAGTTCTGCTATGGAAGAATGTTTGGTAGCTGAGTCTGGAGGTCTCAGCCCCTCCATCTAACCAGAAGACTCCTGCAGCCCCCTCTGAGGCCTGTGCACCTCCAAGATGGACACTGGTCACTGGGAATGAGGACCTGGCTGTGACCCATGGTGTGGCAAAGCAGCAAAGCCTTGTGCAGAGCCAGATGAATCAGGAGGCAAAGATGCACTTCCTACCAAAGACTGGCAATCTGAGGGCAGGACTGGCTGAGTTCACAGGGCAAGAGGTTCACTACTGCTTACAATAAAGAACATTCAGTCTGGAATCCTGACCTCCATTCCCTTGATGTGGCCCTGCTTTGGCTAGCAGTCCCCACCAAGTTAGCAGGCAGGACAGCCAGCAATATCCCTCTTTTCCAGCCCTAACAGACCCAGAGTTCGCCCCAGAGTTGAGTAATCTCTAGTGCCCCCTGGTGGCACACAGGAAAACCACTGTAGGCACCTTCACTTACCAAAGAGGAGGTAAAAACCTACAGGACCTGCTGGCCACCTAGCTTGGCCAGTGTTGTCCACCTCACAAACACGGATGCTGTGGCAGAGAAGAATCCATGGGGCCATGGCTCATAAGGTCCAGACAGACCTATGCATGCCCAGAAAGCACCTCTGCTTCCCCTATCGGGGTACCTTCATCCAAAGCAAGGCAGGGAGGGCCTTTGGAAGGGAAATGGCTGTTGGGAGGAACAACACTTAGGGGACTGTGTGTCAGGCACAACATGGAAAATGGACTCAGTCACGCTTTTTGTGGCATTACTTTCTCTTCTTTTTTTTTTTTTTTCTTTTTGCTATGTAGTCCAGGCTGGGCTCGAACTCACTATGTAGAACTGACCTTGAACTCCCACAATCCTGCTGCCTCAGCCTCCTGAGTGCTGAGATTACAGGGGTGCTCCACCACACCCAGCTGCATGGGATTACTTTCCTGTGCTGTTTCAGCCATCCATCCCAGGCTGGATGGACACAGCCCTATACATTTATTCCTTGCAAACAGCCTAGAGAGGGGCTGAGTGCCTTGTTAGCCCCCATCCCACTGAGCAGGTACTTTAAATATCTTCTCTAATCCTCTTTAAAAATCTTTTGAGCGGCAGGCATGGTGGTTCATGCCTGTAATCCCAGCACTCGGGAGGCTGAGGCAGGAGAATCATTGCAATTTCGAGACCAGCTTGGACTACAAAGTAAGCTCAAGGCCAGCCTGAACTGCATAGCAAGACCCTGTCTCAAAAAGACAAAATTAAAAAAAAAAACTTTTTGTGGATTTTACAGAAAGGGAAATTAAAGCTCAGAGAGGTTAAGCAGAGTTATCCAACCTGCTATTCACATAGCAGGTAAGTGGTAGTGCAGACAGAAGAAGCCACACATTATCAGGCTCTTCCAGTTGACACCATGCCCCAGCCCAGCATATGCTACCTGCCAGGTACCAGAGGTTCCCGTGGGATATTACTGATGGTGAGGGGATAGACGAAACAAACATGGAAGGTAAATATGTCAGGTGGTGGTCAATGGAGAGGAAAATTAGAGCTAGATGCCACAGGGGGCCAGAGAATGCCAGGGTGCTATTTTAAGAGGGTTGGGCACTCTGCTAAAGTGGGCATTTGAGCAGAGACCTAAAGTAAGGGACACAGTTTACACTTGTGTGTTCCCGACAGAAAGAACAAGCAAAAAACCTTCATTGCAGGAGCATTTCCATCCTGTTTACACAATAGCATAGACGCCAGTACAGCCAGGCCGAGGGAGCAAGGTGTGGACCACTGCGAGACTACACAGGTAGTAGGCTATTTCATAGTGTCTTGTAGGCCATGATAAGAAATAGGGATTTTGTTCTGAGTGACAGGGGAAGACACTGGAGCACTTTAAACAATGACATCATTGAACTCATGTTGTGAAAACATGACTGCAGCTGTGGGCAAAGAAACTGTGGATTTGGGGGAAGACAGGTAGCCAAGCAGCTCAGGAGACTGTTGGAATCAGCCTGGTGAGAGATGACAGTGATAGGCACTGGAGTAGGGAGATATAGCTGGTGAGAAGTGGCCAGCTGTATTTTGAAGGGAGGACTGCCTGACAAGAGCTTGCTTATCTCAATTGTGAGATTTAAGAGACAGGAACCAAGGATAATTCCACAGGTTTTGGCTTGAGCAATAGGAAGGACAATTTTTATGAGGAAGGTAGAAAGACTGTAGGAAGGGGAGGTCAGGGTGGAGATCAAGAGTTCAGTTTTGGACTTGCAAGATTTGAAGTGTCTGTGACGTGCCCCCTTGGGGATGGGCCTTCAATAGAAGACATGTAAGTGTAGCATTCTGCAGAGGCCTAGATTGGAGATCTAACCTTGGGATCTTTTAGATGGCTGTTAAAGCCATGAGAGTGCAGGAGATTACTTGAGTGAATGTAGAAACAAGAAGTGCTCTAAGGACAGCCCAAGGCCTCCTATGCTCAGGCCAGGAGAAGGCATGAAACAAAGGAGATGGGAGCAGCTGATGAGGCTAGAGAAAGATCAGGGGGGTAGAGGGGCTGGCAGGCCTGGGAAGAGGGTTTCAGGTCTCAGATGTTCCCAAAGAGGTTGGTAAAGTGCCAGTTTGAGAACAGTTTGCTGGATTTAGTCAAGCAAAGATCACGGGAGGCCTTGATAGGAACAGTCTACTGGGGCTGGGGATTTAGCTCAGTGGTACAGTGCCTGCCTGGCAAGTGCAAGGTTGTGAGTTCGATTCCTGGTACCGGAAAAAAAAAAAAAAAGAGAAAGAAAAAAGAGCAGTCTGGTGTAGTGATGGGGTAACAGACCACTGGACTGGCAGTGGAAGCAGAAATGGCATATGCCAACTCGTTCAGGGACTTTTTACTGTACAAGGCGCAGAGAACTGGAGTGGTAACTAGAAAGGTGTGGGGTTAAGGGAGGTTTTGTTGTGTCTTCTATTTTATTTATTTATTTTTTCTGGTACTGGAAATCAAACTCACGACCTCGCACTTGCCAGGCAGGCGCTGTGCCGCTGAGCTAAATTAAATCCCCAGCCCCAGTGTCTTTTAGTTTAGATGGAGGGATACCGCAGCCTAGTCATACAATGAAGAGAGTGTCCAACTGGAAGGGGGCATAATGCTGCAGAACACAAGGCAGCAGGCACAGGCGTTACGGTCAGGAAGACCAGGAACTAGGACACAGTGGAGGATGCCTGCTGTAGGTACATCCACTGTGACAGGAAGGAGGCAGAGCAGGCAGGGTAGGTGCAGGGAGGGGGACGTTTTGGGGGATGGGAATGTTTGAGAAGCAGATGTTTACCCAGAGCTTGGCCCCAAGTGGCTCTCCATGCCATCTGCTGCGCTGAACATGAGGGCATGTTATTTACTCAAGTTCTCAGAACAGTGTCATCAGGGAAGCATTAGCTGTGTTTTACAGATAAGGAAACTGAGGCTGAGAGGAAAAGTGCCTGGTTCAATCAGTAAACACCAGGGCGGGAATTCACTGCCAAGCTGTCTTCCCGCCCAGCCACCCCACACCTGTGCTCCAGATGCTTAGGATGGAGTTGCTGAGATAAGGCTTACATATGGGGAGAGTTAAAAACCCTTGTAATACAAGTGCTGCCCCAGGCAATCTAGGAGCGCCAAAGAGCCGGGCTGTGAGGGCTCGGGAAGGGAAGAATGGGCTGGGCCACAGGGACCTCCCTCACGCACTGCAGCACTGCGGAAAGGATGAGTATCTCACACTGTCTCACTGGTGCTAGCCCTGCCTCAGTTGATCTGCACCTAGTCCTGAACTCAGTGGGATCCCTGCTTCCTGGACCTTCCCACGGCACAAAGGTTGCAGACTTGACACACTGAACATTCTTATAGCTTTCTGTTTTATTTTTAAAATCTGCCAGTTTTACATTCCACTCCGTGTTATGTCTGGAGTAGGTGCTTTAACATAAAAACAGATAAAATTAGATGTGTATGTGGGGCCTATGGCTGGCTTCATCTGCCCCATGACACACCTGTCACAGCCTAGCTCATTCTGAGCAGCACTGCAGAAATACTTATAGTGAGTTTACCAAAAAGGAAATGGAAGTACACAGCGGCAAGGGCTAAGAGTGGGCAGACAGTAAATGGCATTCCAGATGGAAGACTGGCCTGAACAGTTGGCATGGGTGGCCAGGGTAAGGTATGCTGTGCACAACATGCTCTTTAGGAGGACCAGTGCCATAAAAGCTGGCGCCTGAGCATTTATATGTGTTCAGCACTGGTCTATGTGCATTTTAGTCTCACACTCAGCCCAGAAGCAGGGTCTTTTTGTGACAGGGTCTTGCTACATAGCTCAGGCTGGCCTTGAATTCATGCTGCCTCACCCTCCTGAGCTCTGGGATCACAGAGAGGCATGCAACATTACTTTCCCAATGATGTTTTTGTTTTGTTTTGTTTTGTCTTTTTGAGACAGGGTCTCGCTATGCAGTTCGGGCTGGCCTTGAACTCCCAACGACCCTCCTGCCTCAGCCTCCTGAGTGCTGGGATTACAGGTGTGCACTACCACGCCCAGCTTCCCAATGATTTTAAAGAGAAAGATCTGGGTGTGGTGGTGTGGTGGTGCACACCTGCAATCCCAGCAACTAGGAGCTAGAGGCATGAGGATCAGCAGGAGTTTAAGGCTAGCCTGGGCTTTATAGTGAGTTCAAGGCCAGCCTGAACTAAATAGGGAAACCCTGTGTCAAAAAAAAAAAAAGAGCGAGGGATGGAAGGAAAGAGGAAAGGAATGGATTTCAGGCACAAAGAAATTACATGTAGCACAGTCACACAACATGTGGGGTTTGATCCTAGAGTCTGGCTCCAGAGCCTGTGCTCTTTTGTGGGTTTGGATGAGTAGTACTAGGGAGTGAACAAGGGTGCTCTACTGTTGAGCTACATACCCAACCCCTCCTTTTTTTTTTTTTTTTTTGTCTTTTTGAGACGGAGTTTCATTTTGCAGTTCAGGCTGGCCTTGAACTCATTTTGTAGCCCAGGCTAGCCTCACATACACAGCAATCCTCCTGCCTCAGCCTGCTGAGTGCTGCGATTACAGGTAAATCCCACCATGCCCGGCCTTCCTTTCTTTTTTTTTTTTCTTCTTGAGACAGGACCTTGCCCATTTTGCCCAGCTGATCTCCAATTTGAGATCCTTCTGCCTCAGTCTCCTGAGTAGTTGGGATTACATAATGCCAATGAGGCTGGTTGAGGCCAAAAAGAGGCTCTTGAGCCTGAGCCCAAGGAGCTTAGATCAGTATCTATGGTGATGAGAATATTTTGGGGCAAGAGAGACAAGATAAAAGAAATCATCCTG